TAATGGCCTAGTAGCCGTTGTAACTAAGATCAATGAAAAAATAATTATAATAATCGTATTGGAGGTCACAGATTACTCGGCATTTTAGGTCGCTGTAAATTGTTGTAAATTATTTTTTTCGCGTCAATTTCGGCCTGAGTATATTTTATGTATGGGTAATTAAATCGCAGGTTTGGAACGCATAATACAGTAAAGTATAAAACAGGTATTACAGGTATACGTAAAACAAACACGTATGTATAAAACGTACTGTATACAACTATTAGTTGTATAGGTTTTATACTATATACAATTTTGTTTTTTTTGTTTTGTTTTTTTAAACTGAAATTATCAGGTAAAATAATTATTTTTCAGTTGTCAATTGTAATGCTCATTCAAATTTTTTTTAATTCTATTATCATAATTATCATATTATTAAAACGTGAGGTGATTTCTCGGGACGGTTTTGTCTGAAGTTCTACCATACCGATTTTCGTGATTTTTTTTTTAAAACGCAAGTGGTCAGTGTGTAGATGAGCCATCTAATGAGAAAAGTTCAGAAAATTAATTAGTTAAATAGTTATTACTTTATTAAGCGTAGTTACATAGCGGCGTACGTTGGCTAGCAACAATGAATGTAGTTTATAAGGAAATATTATCATTAAGTTATTTGTTTATGCGTATACGGCATGCACTTATTATTGACTAACGTTCTAATTTATATAACTTTCAAAAAAAAAAACTTTTTTTTTTTCTTTAAACCCGGTAGTGACGGGCAATTTAACTTAATGTACTATTTTTCATCAAGTAATTAATATTTTTAAATAATTTTCATTGTGATTTTATGGAACCGATAAGAACCTGAAAGAACCAAAAATATTTATATTTTATATAAAAGGTCCCGGTTCTCAAATTTTCCGATTCCTGGTCTAGGGATATTTTTTGCAAAATAAATATTTTTTTCCTTCGCGTTTTTCAGACTTGAAGCTGACAATACAACTGTATTAATATCGGTATGATTAAAAAATATTGGTTTTGTCGTTCGTTTTTTATGATTAAAAGGCGAAAAAAAAACTAGTAATAAAGTTTTTACGATAAAAATGAGTATGATACTATAATTTTCACACAAAGGTCCAACCAAGTAATTTATTTTGTTTGAAATGCATACAGTTTGTCTTGTATGAATGTTGTTTTTCAAATATTGCAAGGTAAACATAATTTAATTTTTGTTCTACAGAGATGAGCAGTGAAATATTGGGTAAAATACTTGGGTTTTCTATGATTTTAATTGAAACCATACAAATTGGGCGACATAAAAAAATAATGGAGTGCAATTTTTAAACAGCCATTATATTATCTTGAACATTTTGTAAGAAAAAAAAACACTCATGACAAACACATTCGTGTCGGATTTATGAAACAATACACAAATCTGCGTCGGACAAAATATTCTATTATTATTTTACACATCATATTGTCTGAATTTATTGCTCACGTGTTTATCCATAAAAACTATAACTAAATAAAGTAAAATAAAATGCCTGATTATTTTGAAGCAATATACAATGTAATAATTTTTTTTTTGGTTTTACTATGATGTGTTTTTTATTTTGTCTACAAACATTTCGAAAATCTTGATCCGATATACAGAGTGTAGCACTTTTTCTGAAAGGAAACTGTATCCAGTTGATGCATTAGAAAGGTAAATTTCTATTTTAGTAATTAATTTAGTAATAAAATAATTAAAGAATATATAGCATGTGGATTATTTTTGTTGTTATCCGATTAAAAATTGTTGTAGAAACCCACTGATTGACGTTTTTCAAATATTCTAATAATTTTAAGCTATTTATAGCTATTTAATATTTTCAAGTTTTTATGTGTTTTTTTACTTGGTATTATAGGTTTCTGTTATTAAAATTATAGACTTAAGAAAAATGCTTGAAAATTTAACATATTAAGGTACATTATAAATTATATTTAGTGGTCTAAATAAATTATAGTTAATTGCATTGTTTTTTTTTTTTTTTTTTTTTTTTTTTTTTTTTTTTTTTTTTTTTGCAATGAATTCGTTTCAAGTTTGTAATGAATATGAAAATTTATTGTTTCATCGTATACTTTATATTTACAATTACAATATAAATATATTTGTCACACCAAAGTGCATTAAATTTTGCATTGTTATGTTTTTAAATTCTGAGTTAAAAGATTAAAAGATTAAAAATAAAGTTGTCATTGGCAACCGTTTCAATTTATTTTTTTGTTATTCTTAATTTTTTCTTATTTTAATCTTTTTTAAACAATCATTGTTGTCATGGAAACATTGTTGAAATTATTTTACCATACTTTGCACGTGGGCGCAGCCACTGTTGTAGGTGGTAAGTTGGGAAGGTAGGATACAGACGGGAATTTAATGTATATCATTTTTTACAAAAAAACGAATCTGAGCTGACTTCAGTTGATAGTGTTACTTTTTCAACAATATATAAGTTATATTATAGTAAAATAGTTACAATACATGTTTCCATGACAACAATGATTGTTAAAAAAGATTAAAACAATAAAAATTTAATAATAACAAAAAATAAATAAAAACATTTGCCAATGACAATCTTATTTTTAATCTTTCAACATTTTTCAACCAATAGAATCAGGTTTTCGTCATTAATCTCGAATATTAATGAGAATTTAAAAAAAATGTCCACCTTAAAATACCACCCAGAGAATATTTCCTTTCTGAAAAGGTGCTATACTCGATAAACGGATTATGCTTTTGCTAGAAAAAGTGTTCAAATAAAAAAAATAAATAAACATCATTGTAAAACTAATATATTCCTCGCTCCACTCAGAATCTAAAATAATAATTAATGCCATGACTTGAGGGGTGAGCGCTGATGGCTCTTTATATATTTTCCTAAAAATTTCCTACAACAAACCCCTCCCATTGAAAATTCTCGAGAACGCCACTGTTTCAAAATAGGTGTTACCGAACAGAATTGTTTTTCGTTAGCAATGGTTTTTTTACCTTTGCGTAAAGAAATAAATTAAATAACTTTATGTATCCTACCTTTCCACCTACAAAAACTTCGCCTGTCCCCAGCATTTTTTTATTTTGTTATTTGATATTTGTTTGTACCTAATCAAAAAAAAAATTCTGCGTTATCTATACACGTGTATAGATTAACGTGTTAAGTTTTAGGTTTTTTTAACCGTTGATTTATTAAACAAAAGTATCTATGTTTTACAATTTATTTATTTACACACTATATCTACTTGTATTTCATAATAGAAGGAATTTAAGTATATTTAGGTATATAGACTTACTATTTGTATTTTACTTGTTTGGTTCTTTATGATGAACTCTGAAAATTTGTTGAATCCCGGTGTAAACGAAGGAATTTCGTAGAAGGGAGAGGGTCGCAAAAAATATATCATCTTTGACCTTAATATTTCTATAAATCGATTAGTTATTTACAAAATTTAAATACAAATTAAAGGTGTAATTGGTATTTCAGAAGAGGTTTGATCCCTTTTTTATTATATACTATTTCAATGGCGCACTGCGGGTTTTGCATTTCAATTCATTGTTGGTCCGTTGTTTTGAAAAGTTCCAATCGGGTATCTCTTGAACACAGTCGTTGAAGGACGACGATGAAACCGAACAAGGCGGACGAATAAATCTTGCAGCCGATCCGGCAAAATCGAATTCACTTAAAAACGGATTTTCTCGAAGATTCGATACATAACTGAAATATATATATAAGTGTACTTATACGCAATATATATATATATATGTGTAATAGAACTATCGATGTAGGAGTAAGATAATAACGCGTGGGCTGGACGGATATAGGTAATACAAAACAACGTTTTAAAACGTACGGCCATATTATATGATTAAATGGTGTTGCCAATTTCGTTTCGCCGTTTCATAGGTGCCCTTATTACGCTTAAAAATAACCTTTTGAAAACCCTAATGTTATATTCTAAAGATTCTTCCAGATATTATTATGGGTCAGAACGAACGATGTAAATACAAAAATACGTCGGTGGAGCATACAATTAAAAAAAAAAAAATAATACAAATCATAAAAACAAGTTAAACAGTTTCGTTATTTAAAAAATATATGCAGGATGTCACACTAAGACATAGCCGTTGTAATATGTCCGAAGATAACAAAGATAATCAATTATGGTTTTTTTTTTTTTTTTTTACTCGCAAGTCTAAAGACTATAAATAATATTTATATTTGAGTTAAACTTTTATGTTTTGGTGAAAATACTAAAAAAATTAGCTTTTTATTTTATTATTTAGATTTTAATATTTAAATATTTAATAGTTTGTTCTTCTTAAAATGTTGACATATAAACTTTTTATTTTCATTAAACTGGTGATTTTTCACCAAAAAGGTGAAAAGTTCAGAGAAAGAAGTGTACTTTTTACGCCAGATCGTATTTAAAATAACCTGAATAACCTGATGTATTTCATTCATGGCCGCATCCATGTTATATTTAACATCTATGGATGCTACTAAATTTCATGTATATAATATTACAGACACATATTGAAAAACTGAGGGGTTTAGGAATTTTGCGATCGTTTTTTTTTAGATATATTTAACTGTAGATATATAAAAAAAACTTAAAATAATAGGAACAAATTGGAAAAACCTCGCAGAAAGCTTGCTCCGATGTAGGCGATGTAGACCGTTTTCTGAAAGGAAACTTTCTCAGGGTGGTACTTTAAGGAGGTCGTTTTTCAATTTTTCCTAGAGTTTTCCCGGCAAATGTAAAAAGCTAGGAAATAACATAGAAAAAACCGTGGGAAACGTAGGAAAAACGGCAAAATCGGTACAGTGCTTAACAAATGTTATTAAAAAAAATTCACAATATTTTATTTTATTTTATAACAATACAGGCCTAGGCTCAAAAAACATTACGTGATATACATATATTAATATGATAATACGAAAAAAAAAAATTGTACGGATATTTATTTAGAATAATAATAATAACAGTTATTAAAGTGCAAGATAGTCAATTAAATTAGATAAAAGTTTAGATGGAAATGATAAGTTCGCAAATCTCTTACGATCAGCAAGGCTGAATAAATTTAAAACTTTGCGGATGGGTTCATAACCATGCGGGGGACAAGGAACCTTTAAAAAGTGAGCAAAGAATGACAGGAATTTTCGCTGAACCATATATTGTTTGCAAAGCATCACTATCAACTGAACTTTTTTCGTGAGCAACGGTTTATCGTTGCTTACACATACACATTCAATTCCCTTCTGTATCCCGGCATTCCGCCTACAACAGCGGCCTACAACACCTTCTGTGTCCATTAACCTAGGACGGTGTTTTTTTACAAGAGTTTCAATAACACATTTCATAACGCGTGGGTATATGAACTCCGAACTCCGAACTCAGAATCGTTTTGCGTCGCCGACGGTCGACCGTCGCGCACGCGGATCCGTACGCGCTGTATTCCCCCGTCCACACCCTACGCGCCGTTCCGACTTCTCCGCGCCTACAACAGTGCCATTTTTTCCATGCCCCCCACTCCCGAGCGTTTCAATATCCGGGCGGTACATTACGACGCGGCTCGCGTTTCAATAACGTATTATCGAATGCCGACGGGAACCGTCCGCGCCGCCGTACCGTAACCGCGCGGCGGATGGGGCGGTGGTGAGGGGGGGGTGGGAGGGGAGGGCGAGGGAGACGGACGGATGCGGGTTACCGTGCCGCCCGGCGCCCGGCACGGTCGTCGTGGAGCGCGGCGACGGCGGCGGGCGCGCGACGACGCTCGCGCGCGTACAACGGCCGCGACAAACGTCATGCGTGTCGGTCGAACCGGATCTCCGTGCGACGACGACGGCCGCGGGTCCCGTCCCGGTGTGCACGCGCGCGACATACCGTCGTAGTTTCCGGCCGCGCGTCCGTCCGGCCCGCAGTGTCCCGGCCGTGCCGGGTGTCCGGCGCGCCACATGGGCAACACCGAGAGCAATGTCGCGAGCGGCGTCAAGAAACAGGTGGACACCTCGTCGTTGCAGATCTACAATCTGGTGGACCTGAAAGGTACGTAACGGCGCGGCTGCGCGATATTTCCGGCGCGTTTGAACGCCGTCGGGCCCGGGCCCCGGGCCGATTATTAGACGACACGGGAGAAAAACAAAAATAATAAACAATAAACGATAAAAAAAAAAACATCTACGGACACACTTCGCACGACGGGCGAGCCGCTGTTGTACAGCCGGAAACGTCGGAAAGGCGGGTAATTTAACGCGTGTACATATCCGTACGCGACGATCGGTCTTTGGTAACGAAAAAGACGATTTGAACGCGGAGTACGTTGAAAGGCCGTGTAATATTTACGATTTGAATACGAATACGTTGCCAGTACGTTATCCCGTGTGTTATTGAAACCGCTTGGAAAATCAAAAAACGAACCGCCCCGGTCGGATTTCATTTCGGAAAAGGCGCTACACTCGAAAGTCGGAGCGAAATTGCCGGTAAAAATGTTGTCCGTAAAAAAAAAAAAAATATAAAGAATAAAAAAACGTCGTTGTAAAACCAATGCGTTCCTCGCTCTTAGAATCTAAAATTTGCATTACGGTGGTAAGTGTGAATTGCGCATAATATAACCGGACATTTCATTCGGTACACCGAATAACAACGTCTTCGCAATAAAACGTTTGAATAATTGTCGCAAAAAAATAAAACGAAAGCGTTTAACAGTATATTATTAAAGGCATGGTATACGTTGAGTAACAGTTTTTCGTCATGTTATTGTCCGATGTCGCGTCCGAGTTCCGTCCAGAGTCTAAAATTTGAGTTTAAGGATGTACTAGTTCCGTCCCGGGTTTTTTAAATGGATATACTAATTCCGTCCCGTGCAATTTATTTAGTTATACGAATTCCGTCCCTTTTTGCATTTTCAACGCTAAATTAGTGTAGTATAAAATTTACGACTGCGATAACAATTTTATTTTATTTATAAAAATAAAGATCATATTGCTTTCATTTATCGCGCTATAAATAATCGAATTTAATAATACTACCATATTTAACTTTTAAACTTTCCCGTAATTATCTGTCTCCGTGTCTGGATTTATTAATTTTTTTTTTTTTTTATTGTATGCATATAGAAACCTTCTTTTTATTAGGGACGGAATCGGTACTTGTTTTTAATCGGTACGGAATTAGTATATATATACTTTTTTTTTACCCGGGACGGAAGTCAAATGCAGCCGTCTAATAATTTAACGCGGCAGTAGTCTATATTGTACACCGAGTGATAATATTCCTTTATCTCGATGAAAGCATACACAAAGCGCGAATATAATATTCTTGTGTGTGTGTGTGTGTGTGTGTATGTGTGTGTGTGTGTGTGTATGTGCCGTTTAATAATTCTCCCTGTCAAGAATAATATCGCACACTAGTACACTAGCTATTTATCGTAATAATAATGTTTATTTGGTTTTTTTTTATTTTATTACAATTTTTTTATCGACGGAACCTTAACGTATTATTTTTTTTTTATTTTGACGATTATTTTACACTAGGTATAATTATGATAATTTTTTTTTTTTTCGTAATATTTATAATTGGATCGGTATTTTGGTTTGTCAGTCGATAATAATACTGATAATAATTGATAATTATTGTCCTATCGGTCAGTTTTCTGCATCGATGAATATTGTAAATGTCGGTATTTCGGTTGTCAGTAAGCTGACCTGGCGGTCGGTCCTTTTGGTGTCGGATAATATTATCCATCTCATCAAATTCTATGTGTATATCGTAATTCGACTGTAAAAACAATGGGAAAAAACTACCATAAGGCTATATGAACTTCATAAAGAACTCAAAAATACAGACGCGCGTGCAAGAAGGGGTTTTAAGAGTACAACCCCCCCCCCCCCCCGAATTTTATTTTTTTTTATTAGAATAACTATAGCGGGTATATATATATATATTTAACAGTGTCAATCGTATTTTGTTTTTATTATGATTATTATTACTGTTTTAACAATTTATAACATTATAGATTGTTCGAAATTATATAAGAAATGCAGTATCCAAATTTAGCAGGGAAGTTTTGAGACAAGATTATAAAAATAATTAAACTCGTTCAAATTTAAATGTACAAAAGAAATAATACGTTTTTATAAATTAATATATTAAGACCATAAGATCGATTTAAACCCAACAAAATGTTCACAAATTCACTTTTTTGGAGGAAATTGAATTTTAAAGAATATTCATACAAAACATTTTACTGCATTTTCAACAGTTTATTCTCAAGAAAATTTAAATAAAAATAGAATGTTGTATTTTCGAACATTTTGAATTTTTATTTTTTTATTTCTTCCTAGAAAATGTTCGTTTACGCAGATATTTTTTTCATTGGAAATGCTAATTTCCATAATAAAGGCTGTTTAAGGTTGCATGTTAAATGCATTATTTTTCAACTTAAATCCCAATAATCATAAAAATGCATTCTTTGGTCATTTTTCAAACTTCTTCAGGCTAATTTTGGCTAATTTTTTTCTTGTGGTACTTACGAAATTCTCGGGCACCTGGATAAAAGTTAATTCAAATTAAAGACCTCATTTGAGCATAAATTTTAAGCTTACATAATAAGTTGTAAACGCACAATAGTTTTTGCGGAATCGATAAAAAAATCAATCGAAATTCGAATACGTTGAAATTAAAATTTAAAAATCGGTTTTTACGAGGGTTTTATGGCAATTTAATATACTAAATATAGAAAAATCCGTGTTTTCTGCATGCATCGGATTCGAGCCTGGAAACGGTCATTATACGTATCGATGGACTCGCAGGAATAATCGTGAACCACCGGCTATGTTATAAGCTAATTTTTTTTGTTTTGTTTCACAAAAGTTCACTAGAAACCTAACCGTAAATGTATACCTGCTAGTAAATAAAATCACAACAAACATTCGGTCCGGACTCTCTCGTCACGAGCGGCTAAAAGTCCGACAAAATGAAATTATACGGTATTATTGAATTGGCGTAGTGTTTTTCAAATAATTTCGAGTTGCGTTAGTAAAAAAAAAAAAAAAAAAAACAAATAAATAAATCAGCGGTAGCGGACCGCACGTAATATTATAAAGGGTCTGACAAATCTGATGTGACAAAGCAGATTTTCGGAACTATCTTTTTCGGAATCATATATTATTCTAAATTAATTTCATATTTTATTAATTTAAACGGGAACCTATGTTTGTGCGCACATTACGGCTTAAATATTATATAAAGGTTTAATAAATAATGAGTCGATATGATAATCGGAGGGTCTAGAAAGAAATGTGAAACTATGTTTTTTTTAATAATTTGTACAATTTCGACAGTGAATAAATGCGTTTTATTCCACTCGCCGTAGACATTATAAAAAAATATGGCAGAACACGAGCGGTCTTCGTTTGCGCATCACTACTATCAATTTTGACCTTTTTCGGAAGACGGTTGCGCATCGTTCGACTTTTGTGCTATACATCGTTTGCGCATCGACAGGTTAAATATTTACGCATCGACATTATTTAACAATAGATCTGAAAAAAGTTGTATTTACCCAAAAAACTTAAGTTGTTTTCTAGGCTTAAAATATGAAAAAGATATTTCCGAAAATCTGTTCTGTCACATCAGATTTGTTAGACCCTTTAAAATATTATAGACGGTCCACTACTGTGGATTTATTTATTTATATTTTTTTTTTTACAAACGCAACTCGAAATTACCTGAAAAATCCCACGCTAATTCAATTATATCGCATAATTTCATTTTGTCGGACTTTTAGCCGCTCGTGATGAGGGTTCGGACTGAATGTTTGTTGTGTTTTTTTTTTTTTTACCAGCAGGTATACGTTTACGGTTAGGGTTTACATTGGTTCTCGATTATTCCTGCGAGTCCATCGATACGTATAATGACCGTATCCAGGCTCGAATCCGACGCATGCAGAAAACACGGATTTCTCTATATTCCGTATATTAAAATGCCATAAAACCCTCGTAAGAACCGATTTTTAAATTTTAATTTCTACGTATTCGAATTTCGATTGATTTTTTTTATCGATTCCGCGAAAACTATTGTGCGTTTTCAGCTTATTATGAAAGCTTAAAATTTAAGCTCAAAGGGGTCTTTATTTTTGATTAACTTTGATCCAGGTGCCCGAGAATTTCGTAAGTATCACAAGAAAAAATTTAGCCAAAATTAGACTGAAGAAGGTTGAAAATTGACCAAAGAATGCATTTTTATGATTATTGGGATTTAAGTTGAAAAATAAAGCATTTAACAAGCAACATTAAACAGCCTTTATTTTAGAAATTAGCATTTCCAATGAAAAAAATGTCTGTATAAACGAACATTTCCTAGTAAAGAAAAGTCGTCCGATAATTTTGAAAATTGTATAACGTCCAGGTAAGTTGAATATAAGAATTATTAACGAGTTTCAAGTCTCTACGTGTATTTATAATCGAACTACAGCAAAAAAAACTACCAAAAATTAAAATTCCTTAAAATCCCAAAAGTGGCCCAAAAGATTTTACGATGATACCGTAAGAAATCAAATCGAAAAACGGCCTTTTTAAAGAACCATCTAGACAACTTGAACTTTCAGAAAAGTTGTTACGGTGGAAAATTGGATAAAGTTTAGAGAAAAAAAAAAAAAAAACATAAACATCTTGGTGAAACCCACATAGCTCCCTCGCCACGCCCGGAATCTAAAACGAATTACGATTGACACGGTGATAACCGCACTGAGTGATTATTCAACGAATGCATATCGAACAACTGTGAGTGTTGCGCATCATGCGGCCATATGCAGATCCGGCATAACGTGATTATCCGTAACGAAATTTCGGCTAAATTTTCTTCCCGGCGATATTAACATGAATCGGATCAAACGTTCTAATTTTTTTTTTTTTTTTTATTCTTCTCCCGTGCCAATACCGACCGGGTCCGCCCTAGCGTTTGCGCACAATGCGCACGCGACGAATAGAAAACAACGCGATGCGCCCTTTGCGTTTTCACGGGAAATCCGTCCGTATCGTTCGCGGTCTGTGCGGACGGAGATTATGTGGCCGCGGTAACCGCTGGCACGCGCGGTGTAGGCACGTATTCGTTACTCCGCGACGCAATATTCGAGATTTTTATGGATCCGAGAGCACTTTGCATTGGTAAATAAACCGTATATTATATTTGAGGTGTTGTTGAACTCGCGCGCATTGTACGAGGCGTACCGACAATCTGCATAGACTCCAAAGGGGCTAATGCAGTTTCCGAATACCCGGTTTGTCAGCGTACATTTTTTTTTTTTTTCTTTTCCCTCGTTTTATTTACATTTCGCCGAAACGTTTCCGTGGCCAATCGATCGCCGATCCTAATTCATATATATATATACATATATGTTATCGCGCGCGTATATGCGAGTTAGGTGTGGGCGGTGTTGCGTGTAGCGTCAAGGATTATGCGAACATATAAGTATATTATATTTATGACGTATCGAGAAAATCGTCAAAAACCTTTTCGGCGCGTAATCCTAACGCGATCTGTTGTTATTATTTTATTTTTTTTTTTTTTTAGAAAATTTTAAACAATTAAATCCAGAGTATTGTCGTATGGGTCACTACCGAATCGCCGGAAATCGAACGACGACACCGAGTGACGACAAGCGTAATGCCGATTCCGATTTGTTTGTGTAACTGAATTGTTACACAAACAATACTGTTTGTGGACCTTGAGAGTTAACATTTCGACGATTGTACGGCACACGTTTTATTTTCCGCGACACCGCTCGGTTAATTTTCCACCGAAATAAATAATATACTTTCGAAAGTAACGAGCAATACGAGGTATTCTATCCAAAATTAACATATAAATTGAAATGTAATACAATTATTCGGGCTTCATTTTTTTTTTTTTTTTGTTGCTTCGAATTTTCCCCGAAAATAGACATTATCGCGCTGTGTGTGTCATTCGTGTCTGATATTATATCTGTTTTTTTTTCCCGCCACTTTTGGATGCTTCTAACGTCGGCTCTCGCTGGACCGAATGAGTTCAAACTCGGGAATTATAGTCGTTTAGAAGGTTTTTCTGAAATGATATAAAAGTTAAATTTGATTTCCATATGAACTCCAGAATGTTGTTGGGACAAGGAATGTTGCATGAAACTGAGAAGAAGGTTTGAACTTTCAATGCCCTTACTTCGCCATATTTATTTTATAGTTTCACCTTAAGTGGACGCTACACTGACATCTACCGTCTCCGTATTACAACGCGAGACATAGCAAATTTACGTTCAGTAGGACACATTTTGCGCCACGAGTTTTAATATTATAGCGAATCGACTCATTGCCAAAATTAAAGGTAAGAAGATTATTAGGGCTTTAGCGTTGACGATTTTTCGATATTTTTATTTTTAAATGAAACATGAGTATGTTAAATATCACAAAATATCTAAAAATGATTATATTTTGCTTATAAATTCAAACATCGAAAAAACATTAACGCTAGGGCGTATTATACAATCTTCTTACCTTGAAGTTTGGTAATATTTTAATTTGATTCAGTGTTAAAACTAACGGCACGAAATGTCTCCTACTGAACGCAAATTTGCTATGTCCCGCGTTTGTAAGACGGAGACATTAGATGTCGGTGTGGCGTTCTCTTAGGCTATTATTGTTATAGTAGATACAGTGTACAAGTATATTATAGTGTTGCGATAGTTATTATAGTATTTGAATTTGATTATTTATTTTCATACAATAAATATTTCTGTAACACAATATAAATAGGGCGGAAATTAGACTGGAATGAATGGAACTCTGCTGCTCACGGGTGGTTTTAAATTCAGAGCGTAACAAAGAACATATTGGTTTTACAACGGTGTTTTTTTTTTTTTTTTATCTATGAACAACTTTTCTACCTAATATCATGCTCCGTTTTTTACAAACTTAATACCTTTTCGAAAAATACATTTTTTTCTGAATGGTACTTTTAGGAGGTCATTATTTGATTTTCCAAGCATTTTTCATAATAGTTGAGAAAAATCGCGGGAAAAACGTAGGAAAAACGGCGAAATTCGTTAGAAATGGCTCATCGTCGCGTACAGATATAATTAATGAAATTTCCTTCTATATCCTATATTCCCAATTTCTCACCTACAATAGCGCTCCCCCCCCTCTCCCCCATCGCCCGGAGTATGTCCGTCTTTTTTAATTCGTTTTTATCATTTAGCAATAAATATTATAATAGTAGCATGAATGTAAAAGTTACATTCATGACAAAATAAACACCAGACTATTAGGTACCTACAGCCTAACGATTAATGTTTGTATTTGAGTGAGCATTGTCTGTTTATTAATTCACGATGTAGGCGCACACAACGCGTAATTTGGCACAAAATTAGATAAATAAATTATTGGATCTATATAATATGTACATACGTAATAGCAGTTTCGTTTTAACGGCCTCTTCCACTGGATAATTCAATGAAATTGCATTTTTGACTAGGCCGTGTTGTATATATAATATGCAATAATAACAATTTTAAAACATATTTTCATATCACCTTCCGGAATTCGAGATCAATGTTATGATGAGTAACGTTAAATTATTTAATTTGGAATTTGTTTTTTGAATAACACAAGACCGTAACTGAAAGGAAGGGAAGGCCCAGCAATATACTTGATGGTTCACCCCGTTTCCTGTACGGCTGCAATAAAAAACAATATTTTTTTAAATTATATTATGCATAGTGAGTAATTGGACGTATAAAATAGCCACTGTACACCTCAAAAAAAAAAAAATCAGTGACACTAACTAATACGAGTATTCACTTATCAACGGGTGTGTTCAGTTTTACGATATTCATATTCATAGAGAGTCTACATCCAGCGACCGCCTGTGCGCCTTTTAAAATAATGATTTCCTCAATTTTATGGGAATTTAATTTTGCATAACATATAATCATAATACCTACCTACCAACCCCATACTTTATGCAAAAAGGATTCAAAACTTTACTCGTGATAATCCAATATTGTATAGGTTTACTAAATATCTCATAACTTTAATAACTTAATTTTCCGACTACTCCACGTTTTATCAAAATTGCTTTTTAAATTATGTAATGCTGCCTTTATGTTACGGCATGTTCACAAAGTTATACAAATGAATATCACATAGCTCGTTAGACATTGAAGTACTTATATATAGAACACCCATCACTCGAAGAAATCGCTTAATTTACATGTTTTTTAATGTACTATTTATGTCAAACGATTTAAAACACAAATACCTCCTAATAGAGGTTTTTATTAAAGAAATTGTTTTCTATTCTTAAAAAATTTAAATATTCTCATGGAAGCATTTTTTTTTCTAAATATTTTGACTACAAATTTGTTCCTATATAATAATATAATTGTGGTATAATATTCAAGGTTCATATAAAAATAAACTTATTCGTGATAATTGCCTAATATCTATGCATCGTTTTCGGTAAAACGAAAATAGACAAACATAAAAACGAACTTCTAAATAAAAACATTCAATGGTTAAACCTTCAAATAGTAATACTGTTTATGACTTGAGAGCAAGTCATAATTTATATACAAAAATATCCTCAGGTTATACTATTTATAGGCTTTAGTAGGCTACACTTTAGTCTAATGTCTGTGCAGTGTAATATGTAGCAACAATTTATTTACACGATTTTTTTTTTTTCAGAAAATCGTTAGTGAAAATATTACATCCTAAGTGTTAATAAAAAAAAAGAGCTGATGCTGTTGATACTTTGTTGTAGACGGGGAGTCGGGAAGATAGGATAAGTAATGTCATTTAATTTATATTTGTACGCAACGATAAATCATTGCAGACGACATTCGTCAAGTTTATTTTTTGTCGAAATTTGAACTTAAAATGCTTATAAAAGAAAAAAGAAAAAACGACTACATTACACTCAACTTTTTTTTCACTAATAAATACAACTTATAATAAACCTCGTGTTAAATTTTCAAATATTTCGACTTGGCCAAAGTTATGTTCATATAATAATACACGATATTCAACATTACTTTTACGATTTTAGTGAAAAATTGAACTTAAACGCGTATAATAAAATGATTACGTTATGGTAAATTTTTTTTACGACTACATAATAAGTTAAACTTATAATAAACATCGTATTAAATTGTCAAGAACTTCTGTTATCCAAACAATTCTATCTTCATAAAACCAAATAAAAACTAAACAAAATCGAAAAATAGCTTAAAAATCATGTTCTGTGAAAATGTCAGGCGTCTCTAATTATTTTTAACTAAATTACAACAAAATATCATACGCACTAACTAGATTAGAGGTTCCTAAAGTGTGGGTCGCGTTATATTTTTAAATAATACATTTTTTTAGATTCTGAGTGGAGTGAGAAATGTAATGGTTTGACAATGATGTTTATTTATTTATATATTTTTTTATCTGTAAATAACTTTTCTACTAGCTACTTTGCTCTGATGTACAATGATGCCACTTCTTCTGAAAGGAAATCTACCTGGGGCGCTACTTTAAGAAGGTCATTTTTTAATTTTCCCAAGAGTTTTCTAATAAATTGGAAAAACCGGAAATAGTACAAAATGTAGGTATTAGTTCAAAAATATTACAGTCTTTTTTTTCTGTAAACAAATTTTCTACCAGAAAATTGGATCTATACTTGCAAATGAGAGTACGTAACTGAACAAACTTCATGAATCATTCAGAAATGAAAAATAAACCAAAATAAGGGTTATTAATATTATTGTGGGCCCCTTAAATTTAAATCATTTCCAAAATAGGTTGTGCCATAAAAAGTTTATGAATCTCTAATCTAGATTCGAAATTCAACAAAAAAAATATCTATTGTTATTTTTTTAATTGGACCTAGGTTTCTGGTAAAAAGTTGTCTCCTGAGAATAAATAAAAAGTACACGTTACAAAACCAATATATTCTATGAAAAATATAAATAGTAAAACGATTTTCTTTAAACAATAAAAAAAAAATAAAGTAAATGTAAATGACAAAAGTTATGTAATAAATTTGAAAAGTATACTACTAATATTATATCCTGGTTTTTTTTTTTAATATTTCTCGAAAATATTAAAAGAATAACTCTGTATATTCTTTATAATACTTGTATGTTATTAAAAACCTACCATAAAGAAACAACTATTTTTCACAACAACGAATGTATTGAAAATGCAAATGTATACATTTCGATGGTGATCATTGTACCTGTTGAACAATTATTTTAATTCGCTATCTGAATTCAAATTTAACCATCACATCGCATTGAGAAATTTAGCTCCGAGTGCTCTGACACCGAAACGTAATCTACTGCAGTAACTGAAACACGCAAAATAAATGAATCGGAATGTAATTTACTGTATTACACATAATATTATTCTTTATATTATTATCCACACTGTTGCGAAAAAATAACGATCGGAAAAACTAAATCGGTTGTTCGATTTATTTTTTGTCGGTAGTCGTAACATTTAAATTTTAAAACGTGTACATCAATATATACGTTAAACAGAACAGCGTCAGTTTATGGGTAGGTACAATGACCGTTCGAACACTATAATTTTATCTTGTACGATATCTAACGCGAAATAAGAATGTGGTTTACCAAATATTTCATTGTCCATTCCGAGGTGCGTACAATGCATACGTTTATGAACTAAATAGACACGTACCGACAAAATGTACGTAAGTTGTTCAGTACCCGTGTGTTTACACTCTACAAGCAGTGCAGTGGGTTACGTACCTACCGGTATATTGACTATGCGTATAACTATTATATTATTAATGATTAGAATTTCAGAAATATTTATCGAACGAGACTAATATGAATTTAGTTACTTGTCTGTCTAACCCTCTTCCAGTTAAATACGCGCTGTTTATTTAAGTTCTCGCTTGTTTAAACAAGGCGAAGCATTCGGATATTTCGTTTTCACTACCTACCCACCTACCTACCTACCTACCTATATTTATTAATATACGGACAAAAATTAATTAAAACCCCTATTAAATTGCTCTGCGGATATTATTAATCGCATTCCTTAGTAAAATAAACTGTCCAGATCAAATAGTAATATAATTTGGATGTACTGCCGGTTTACGTTGTAGTAATATTAGTAATTAATATGGAAATCCTTCTTCCGCGGAATGATTTGATATCATGTTGTAAAACATAAATGTTGTTACACCGACATAATTGGTTCGGTGGGTTCCGCTGTTGTATAGTATGGTGTAGGAAAAAAAAAATAATAAAAAACATTTAAAATTGTTCACATGACGATAGCTTTATCTGGCTTATGTTATGTCACATGATAATACCTGTAATTATCTTTACATAGCTTTTGAAAATAAAATATTTCGCTTAACAAATATTCTCCCCCCCCCCCAAGGAACGTCTTTATGAGAGGCGACGGGGGCGATCGCCAATCCCTCCCCTCGAGATGAGTGGACTTACAATGGCATTTGACATAGTCATTGGTCCAGAAGCAGATATAATCAATATATTATTCGACGTAATTTTTTTTTTCTTATCAATCGTCAATAATAAATTCGATTATTTCCCCCCTCCTCCCCTGTTATGTTTAAAACCGATAATAAAATTTGCTCGACATAATTATTTTTACGCACCTAACAATTTATTATACATGATAAATACAATTTTAAAATAAATGTAGCGCAGCTTGTACGGGAAAGCCTTGCAACAAATACATAATTATGTCAATATCCATTGGCCATCTATTGAAATAATAGTTCGGTAAGTTACAACTTATAACTAGAAAAATGTAAAATGAATAGGTACAAAAATATTGTAACGGAGTAAATTGTGTTCGACTGTAATTTCAAAACGACTCATCCCTACACGTTTGTCCAGGATTATCTATATTGATTTTGATATATGTACAGCAATTAATAATCGATTAATCGAACACGTTCTTTCATTGTTAGGGATAACATTGCAATCTCTGAATCGTATTTTAAAAGTAATTGAAGATCAATGTAATATTATACGTCGAATTTAGTAATATTGTTCGTTGCTCATACCGAGTAACCGATTGTCTAAACACGGTCACGTTTTGTTATTTTGTTTAGGTTGTGGTCTTCTGGTGGATTTGATGAAGAAAGCGGTACAGACGAAGAATTTCACCGAGTTGGACAACGCAATCAAAACTCAAGTAGAACCAATGTTATACAATAAAGGCGAAGGCAGAATGATACCGATCGCCAAGCTCGTTTTACTGAGAAATCGTGACCGGTCCAGGACGAGATGGGTCAGTGAAAAATATTTATAACAATCAAATAACGTTCGGGACGTCACTTTTGAGACGTTTCAACGTAATCTATATTATAAAACTGAAACATGAAACCAATAAACACGTTTAATAAACGCATTTCAAAACCCTACAGTCTTTAGAGCGATCGAATATGCGTCCGATTCAAAACGGTAAAATCGATGAAATTAATATCATTTTATAAAATGATGGATGTATCATAATAGACAAATTAAAAAACGCATGAACCGACAGGTTTTGGTCATTATAAATAGATAATACATTGTATATATTACAACATAATTGCATGATTATGTTATTTTGTTTATTTTGTTTGCGTACCTATGTTTATATAAAAAAAATCCATTTTCTTTTACTTATTTTATTTTTATTTTCGTATGACCGTTAAGAATGCAAATAGTAAATACAATATAACACAAATATATTATACGAATACAAAATTATGAATTAATAAGATTAAACCAATAGTTTAAAAATTAAGTGTTAAGTTATAGGTAACAATGTGTCATTCGTTTCTTCCTTACGCGGGTGTTGTTAAATAATGTCCACGTCCATTGTGCATCTGATACATAGGCGCACATTAACATCCCTGGTTTGCCTAAGTAATTTATTTCACTATTTTATCGATCATTTGTACGTTATTTTGGTTTATTGGTTTGAATAAAATATTAATTTTCGTCCATTACAAATAGTTCACGAAATCAAAAAATTGTATCGCAAACGTGTACAGTATCAAATAGAAAATTAAACCTTGTATAACATTGACTAGTAATTATAGAATATATATATTTATTTATTTTTTTAATATTTTGAATACATAATAAATTATGTAGACGATCTATTCTTATATAGACCATACAGTTTAGTTGCTTGATATAAATAAACAGAATAGCGATTATAATAATATTTATACAATTTCAACTTAATAATTAGTTATTCATTTTTCTATAAACAATTATAATTAATTTAAGTTTTGATTTTTTATATTTATGTAGAAATTTAAAATTGTTGTAATATAGTTTATTGCGGTATTAGGGGGTTGCGGGTGCAGAACCCCCAACGGATATGTGTACCGTAAATTATTCTATTAGCACCTCCTAATTTCACTCCCAATTTGCGCCCGTGATCAGACGGTTACACCGGCCTTGGCCTGTACGAGAAAATAAATAAATAATCGGCTACTCCGGCTATTGTATTATGTAGTTAACAATATTATTATTCATACAGATGCATAATAATTTTTACATATACAGCGTAAACTCTCTGTGACGAACCTTAATAAGGTACCAAGCGTTTCCGCGTTTTCGGCATTCGGTCACCGTGTGCATTACCGTGTGGTAAGGTCCACTCCACACAATTCGCATGTATAGGAGGAGCGTTTTTGGCCGTGAAATGATCGCTGTGAGTTGTGAACGTGTTTTCTATTCGTGGGCTGTTCAATATTATTTCGACTTTTTTTCTTTTTTCAATCCGGGGTTTTGGCGTTTTGCCATATTGAAAAATTATTTTTAATTGTGTTCAATTATATGTTTTGTTTTCTTTTACGCCATTTGTAGTTCAGAGCTTTTTGTGTCAACATACGCGATCATAATGTTTAAGATTGGAGTGCGGGTAAAAGTGGCCGCTATGACTTGCTGCTTGGTCTGCTTTTTAATTTCCAATTATTCCGCTGCACCCAGGTGGCCACATGCAGGATACGTATCCCGTTATTTTATCGGTAGTATCCATGTTATATGATGCGTATTTGAATTTTGGGAAACTTATTCCGTTTTTGAATTCGAAATTGAATATATTATGAGTTCTTAATATTGTTGAAAATCAATAGACAGTTTGATAATTTGTAACATGTAACTGTATATGTTCACTTTCTATAGACGAACGAAGACTGAAGAATAAAATGTTGATTACATTGCAAACAAATTCACTGATCGGTTCGATAACGTTTGAAAAAACCCGAATCAAATTTACTCAACAAAATCTTTGTAGATAATTGTTAGTTCTTGATAAAAAAAAAAAATTTAATTAAATTACTCTGTATAATTCAACATTTTTTTTTTTTCGTAAAAACGCAGTAATAATTAAATTCGGATTTCGAATAGAAGTCCGCGGAATTCGTTTTCATTATTATTTACACAATTTGATCGTTCTCCCAACCACTTTGGCGTATTGTAATCGAATATTTATCACACAGTTGTTTCGCTAAATTAACGTTTTAAGTTTAGACAGAAGGTGTTTTGGTGGTAGGTACACATTATAAAGTAGCTATATAATATTATCTCAATGACATAATGTATTTATTTCCATGTGGCCCCGCGCTTGTCTAAACTTTAAACATTTATAGTTTAACAACTACTACATGATTAATATTCAATTATGGTTCATTAAAAAGCGACCTCTTTAAACAGTTTTATAAATTTCGGACAACAACGCTAAATCACCTCGGTCAACTCGTTGTATATTATGGATATTTCGTGAACTTTTTTCATACCTATGACCTACACAGTATCACATTTCGCTTTGAGACCGGGGCAGTAAAACGATTTCCGCATACTCGAATACATAATTACCCGCAAACTTCTCTACGAATTTCGTGTTTTTTTTTTCTTCGTGAAAAAAATTGTTTATATCGACATGATATAGTACTCTCGTTCTTCATGCAACTCTAAAAATACTAGTGGCTAGAATAATAATGTATATTATAAATTGTATTCAAACACACTGTCTGTACCTCAGAATTTAAAATGTATATTACCTACATTTCAGTTTTATGCGATTTTTAGGCTATTTAACTAAGAGAAATTTAGAAAAAAAAATTTCCAAAGTCATATGACGTGTGGTCAATTACCTGTCTGTGCAATCAGTGTAACTGAATCTGTATATAAAACTTTACTTAAGCATGTTTACTGTCAATTATGTTAACACAATATGCTTGTTATAAAAAGAAACAAAACGTCACTCAAGTATCTGGATTGTCACCTGTTCGAATTACAACGAAAATTTTGCACGGCATGTCAACTCATCCGCCACATAACCTCACTCTATCCAAAAATAATCACACAGTATAATTTATCTCGTTTTTTTTTTTTTTTAGTAAACATAGGCTGAACAGAAAATGTCTTTAAATTGTAATACTCAGACTGGTACTTATATAACTTTCAGAGAAAAGTGCATATAGTTATGCAGCAGGCTGCGTCGCATTTGCTAATTGATGATTATTATTACAACTACTTGATTGCACATTTTTTTTCTTTGAACTTTAAACAAATTATTAAAAATTACGAATTCAATGAAAATAAAACGGTGATATATAAAAATTTCCAGAAGAATAAATTCTATGAAATGGCTATTTTCAAATTTGTCAACAATAATAAAATAAAAGTTATTTTTTTAAGTTTTTTTTTACCAAAACATAAAAAGTGAAATAAAATATAAATATTCTTAGTCCTTATCCACGCGAGTAATATACAAAGAGAAACAGAATGTGTTTAATCTTTATTATTTCCGGATATATTACAATGAGTCGTATATCTTCGTGGAACACCCTATATGTATTCTACCCGACACCCGTCAACAAAAAGACAGAAAATAATTCTGGTCATTTCGATTGGACGTTACTATATGTGAGTATCGTATATTATCGGTAGGTATAGTTAGTTTCATTGTCGTTTTACTAATATGACAGACATTCGAAACTAGCACTGGTAATACTAACTGCTTAATATGTAACGACCATGTAGAAAGATCAATGCATCCGAGAAATTCAGACGCTAGGCTCTTGGTTCTATAAGAATAAAAGTGCTAGTGTGAAAACGGCGCAAATAAAATCTTATACTCTGGCCGAATAATAAATTTGCATTTTTTTTTGTTTTTTCGAATTTTTCCCGAAAATAGAGAGCGTTGCACTTTACCGTGCTCGTATTACTCGTATGTGTATGTATGTTACACCCCGTGATCGGTGAAATCGCCCGTTATCACGTTATATATTTTATACTTTTCGTTCATTTTTATTTTTTTGCCGTTTGTTTCAACGCTAGGGTGTATTTGCCTATCATCGAACCCGAAGATAAGAACATTACCGTTACAACCGTTATGTTCTCTTTGTAAAACTGCCGTCAGGCATAGATAAATATAATAAATACGTACAGTGAAATCCGCTTATTACGGTGCCGCGTATAACGATATTCCGGGGAAAAAGATACCTAGCAATGTACACCTGTACGGTTGGTTTTATATCCCGCGTGCAGCGAATTCGGTCGTTTATACCGATGTTGGTTACAACGATAAGCCGAACATAACGATGTTATTTTGAAATGAAAATTGATTTTTACGTTCGCCTATCACAGTATTATTGTACAGACATAGTGTATTTATAAACGAAATATTGGTACCCATCGGGTTTCGCGGTAATTCATAATCTACTTTACCTGTAACAGATAATGTGTCGTATGCGCGGTATAGATGGCAATTTTTTATAGGTATTATTGATCGGATGGCGTATTTTTGTTTCGGTAAACAGAAATATCCCGCGAGAAGATATGCCTCTTGAATATCTCCGGAGATAATAAAGATAATCAAATTCTGTTTGTTTATATGTATATTACTCACACGGACGAGAACTACAGATCTTTAGTTTTGAATTTTTTTTTTTTTAGTAAACAAATTAAAAAAATTAACGTTTTTTTTTTTATTGTTTTCGGCAAATTTTAAGACAGCCGTTCTATAGATTTAATTTTTCTAAAAACTTTAATGTATCACACATTTATATCCGATGAACAGTTCCTGAGTAACAGCCGTATTCGCGCATCGCGGTTATGCTATTCCCAAGGTAACATCGGTTTTCACACGGATTAGTAGAATTTAAAACGGCTTAAAACGAATTAAAATTTTCAGATAAATAAACTCTACGGAATGGCCTCCTTAAAATTTGCCGAAAATATTAAAATAAACAGTTAATTTTTTATATTTGTTTACTAAAAAAAAATAAAATAAGAAAATTTATT